TTTGACCTGGTTATTTACTGTGTCCCAAAATTCTCACCACTGAAGTAAAGTACATTGCATTGTGAAACCTTAAAATATCTGAAACAGTATGCTGAAAACTTCAACAAATCTTTGGAACAACTTAGAGTAATACTATCATAGTATCAAATTTTAGGAATTTGTCTCTCATACATTCTCAGCTCAAAGTCATAGCATAACCTAAATTGCCTTTAAATTCCAGTTAAAACTTTCAGTGAGGAAAGAAAAGTCTGATTTGAATAAAAGCATAAAAGTAAAAGCTAACTTGCATGGTATTGACAGACTCTCATTACCTGTTTGTGTTCATATAAACAAGCTTTTACAAGTGAATACTTCCCACTTAAATGTAATTTTCTTTAATCATTAGGTGGCAAATAATGAAGCATAATTTCTTTTCATAAAATAATCAAACATAACTAAAGTTTTTAAGTAATTAGAAATTATGGTTGCATGTATGGGGAAGATAGCTTCACCATACATTTTCCTTTTCTATAGTTAGTTGTGTATCCATTAAAAAAGAGATTTTCCTGACCCCATTTTCACTGGTCTGCTTTCTCTACAAATAGCAAAAGTCTAGTTATTATTAGCAGTGCCCAGTAGACCTACAGGTGAAAAGATTATTGAATATGGCATACATTTTGTTAAGAAAAGGCACAAGAGTAAAATATAGCTGCAGGGGTATTATAAAAATATGCTTTGGCTTTAAGGTAAATTGTAAGGAAATTTTTTTTCTCCTCCATTTTAATTAGGTAATCATGGGTATACTTTACATTCAAAACACTTCAAATGGTGAGGGAAACTAGTATAATTCAGCAGCTAATCATTTTTTAAATAATATTTTAAGATATTTTTGTTGGTCTCTTGAAGTTATACCACCTGGTTTGCAATTACAGAAATGCTGTAGAAAGTATCATTCTGGGACAGATGAATTACTAGAAATTTTAGTGAAGTAGGATCAAAGACTGACAGGGGGCTCAACTTCGAGGATAAAGAAAGTATAATAGGGTTGTGAAAGTTTTATTTGAGATCATTTCCTTATCTCCCAAAGACTGAATAAAACTTTTGAAACATCAGCAATCCACGGCAATCCAGTTTCCCCTGACCTGAGTTTCTATAAACCAACTGCTGAAGTTCAATAGTTTCACTTGCTGGGGTGGAGCAGGGGATGAAGAAGAAAAAGAGGAAAAAAAGTCAGTGAGCATTTTTTTAATATCAGAAAAAGCAGACTACTTTCAGAACATGGCATACATTGCTTATTTAAATTTGCTTTTAACTGAAGAAATCCTGTAGCCCTATATACCATATTCTTGTAAAAAATAACCATAAATAGAATTTGCATTAATATGTTTAATGCCAATAAAATGTATATGTTTAATAACAATTTTAACACCAATAATATATACACTTAGCTTGGTATGTATTATTTCTACAGATAAAAATTGCCTAAAATATAATATATACTACACAACACTTTATCTACTCTGTAGTAAGATCTATCAATAGACAAATCAGAATACACTTGATGAACTTCCAGACCTCCTTTCATCTTTTATTTCCCATGCAGGCACTAAAAATATGCAACTCTTTCTCACATTGGATTCATCTACTTAACTATTTGGAACAAATCTTTTGCTACAATTTCAGTTGTCTTTACTTTTTTTCACTTTATTTTGATTTGTCTCTCTCTGTATCTAAACACACACAAACACAGAAGTTTCTTCTGTATAGAAAGCAAAATAAAATAAAGTCTCTTGACTTTTAATGTGCTTCTGTTTATTGATTTCATGTTTTTGCTTTCAGGTCAGAAAACTGCAATTTGAAGATCAAATTCTACAGTCCTAAGCACTGTTTACAACACTGATCAGTTTTCTAATCATTGAATTATTACATCAATCTTAGTATACTGAACTTTTCTTGCCAAGTTCACTAAGGACACTTTGTCCTAATTTATAGGAGCAATTTTTCTGTTACAATTCAGTACCATGTGCCATTGTGTTACATTATTTCTCACCTCTTTGTTTAGTTGGATTTTTTGGCAGTTTATCCTCCTACTTCTCTGGACATTTCATTAAGCTTTTTTTTCTGAGTGTCACTTGCCCTCTGAAATTTCCTCTGTAATTTCCCCTATTCATGGCATAACTACACACACTGCTCTTACCTCAACTTTCACCTGATTATTTGCTCTCCCATCAAGGCCATATACTGACATTTATGTCTGTGTCCCATTTCCAAAATTTGAGGCTTTCTAACTCATAGACCCTTCTGCCATTTTAATTTTGAAATCCTCATGGATTTCAAGACATTTTATGGATAAATAACATTGTATCATCGCTATTGTTAACTGAATGTGAACCATTTATCAGAAAAGCTTATTTAAAATATTTTTTAATAACTAGCACATACTCTAAACTGACTTGTCTTTTATCTCTCAAATCATGTTTAGAATCCTGTAACAACCTCCTTGTTTTATTTTGTGACTTGAGAGAATAAGAGCTTATGCTGTATTTTTTATAAATATTGAAACATAAATAGAAATGCACCAAGAGTCTGGTCAGATAACAGTCATATTGTCAGCTCTCAGTATCCACAGGTTTCACACCTACAAATTCAACCAACCATGTATTGGTACCATACCAAAAGAGTGACTATACTGAAAAAATTGTGTATTTTTTCCTTCTCAATATTCCTTAAAGTTATCCACATAGTTTTTACATTATATTATGTATTTTTGGGAATCTAGAAATTATTTTAAATAAAAACTTACAGTATGATATGCATATGTTATATGCAAAAATTGTGCCATATTATAGAAGACATTTAAGTATGGAGAACCAAATCTCCTGAAGCAACTTAAATAATTTTACAATTAAGAAGGAATTTCCAACTGTAAGAAAAGAAAGGAACAAAGGAAAGAAGGATGGAAAGAAAAAGGAAGGAAGTAAGGGAGGCAAGGAAGGAAGAAGTGGGGAAGTAGGGAGGGAAGAAGGGAGGAAGGGAGAAAATCCTGCTCTAATAGCATCTAACCCTGACAAGAGTGTCCATAGAACCACTTGGCTGTTATTTTCAGTTGTTACAATTTCCTGTTATTTTCAGCTGTTACAGGTACTTGTTAATGCTTATTGAAAAACAAGCATAGTTTAGAATTTTTGGTAAAAGCCATGAAATTAAATCCCATAATGAGCATCATTATCATTTCAAGGATAATTTCTATATTGCTTCATGAAGGATGCTATTTGCTAAAGGCTTTGTAATTTACTTTTAGCTGGAGAAAGAGGAAGTGAGTTTCATTGTTTGAAGCCACTGGCAATCACAAATCACATCTCCTTCACCTAAACTGGTCCAGGATTAAACTGACAAAATGTTGTTATTATGGAATTGAATTTTAAGCCAATCTAGTTTCCTCCTTTTTTTTTTTTTTCAGTAAGTTAGTTCCATGAAAATCATATGGCTCAGTGAGAAAGGAGAATGAAAGCTTAGAGGGAAACCAGGTAAGATCACATTTGGACCCAGGAGGCAGGAAAATATCTAGGTAATAGTGGAAAATCATCTAGAAACTATGAAATATATTTATGTACATAAGATAATAGCAAACCATTAAAATCAATTAATTTTTACATATATTAATGTATTATTTCTTTCAAAAAATCTTTGAATGATATATTTTCATTCTTATTTTATAGATGAGAAAACTGAGGTATAAAGAATTAGAAAATTTGCCTAGAAATTAACAACTCTTTAATACCAATTTTCAAACACATGCAATAGGATCTATAAAATGAATAAAATATTTAAGAGATTTTTTGAGTTTAATATCCTTGGCATATACAATCTATTAGAATAATTGATTCAATATAAGGAAATGATTTAATAAATTATAATATAATTCACGATTTTATACTTTGAAGCCATTAAAATCAGTGTAGTTGATCTTGATTTGAAAATAGTACATTAGTTTCCATTTTTGGGGTATTGAATACAGTACCTTGTTCATGCCAGATTAGCACTCTATCACTTGAAGAATGTCACCAGCACTTATTTTTTTTTTTTTTTTTTGAGATATGGTCTTGATAACTTTGCCTGGTGTGCTTGGAATTCTTCATTTTTCTACCTCCACCATGCCATGCCCAACTCATTTATCAGAGTTTTAGATGAATCTTTAGGATCACACTAATTACTGGTCTCTTTATGCCTAAATTCTCTTCTGTCTCTCTTATCTAGTGTTGATTTGCTTAGGTAGTATTAAACTTTTTTAGTGTTGGCTGTCTTGTTTACATGTAGATAGTCAAAGTTTAACCAATACTTCAATAAACCTACACATAACTGGACATTATACTAGAAAACATATTTGATAAATTTATATCTGAAAATTTTCTGTTTTGTGAGTGGGATTTCACCATGATTTGTATCATTAAACATAAATATTGAGCCTAGCTCAGACTGTAATACTAACTACTCAGGAGACAGAGATCAAGAGGATTGAGGTTTGAAGCCAGTCCAAGCAAATAATTCTCAGACCTTATCTCAAAAAAAAAAAAAAAAATCACAAGAAAAGGACTCATAAAGTGGCTGAAAGTGTAGGCCCTGAGTTCAAGCCCCAAACTACAAAAAAAATTATAATTAAAACAGAAAAAGAAAACAAATTTTGATCATTTTGGAGAATGTGGAAGAGAATAAAATCTGTAGACTCAGAGCCTGCTTTTATTAATGTAGGTAGGTTCCTTACAAATAAACTGATTAGAGAGGAAATCCAAGATGGCTACCAGAACACAGCCACAGACCTTCTGACTTCTGTGATCCAGGTACTTTGATAAGAACCTAGAGACATGCTTGACTGAGGTAAAGTGCCAAGGAGAGATGAAACATCAGCACTCTGAAACCCTAATTCATGGAAGACTTCTCCATGCCATCATATACTAAAAGAATAGCCAGTGCTGCACACCAAGCCCCACCCCATAGGCCCACAGAGACACTGCTCCACTCACCATGGGATTGCCAATCCTCTGGCCTTGCTCTTTTGCCAGCCAGGGCTGTGCCACCCCAAACTCCCACCCCTCAGACTCACACAATCTCCCTCAGACAAGTAATTAAGGATGAGGATCCACAGACATTCGTGATCTCCACCAGGCCATGCCCCCAAACCTGCACAGGCCTGCATGATCTCTGCTCTGCCAGCCACATCCCCAAGGCCTACATGCCTGAGATACACACATGCATGATCTCCGTTCTGCTGAACCGGGCCCTCCAGGCCTGCACAAGACCACATGATCACCACTAGGCCCACATGATCACCCTGAAAGAAGAAATTCTACAAGTAATTAATGAGAATTTCATAGAGATGCTACTAGACATGGTCAACCAAAATGTACAGGAGGCACTCAAGAAATTCCAAGACAACAAAAAGAAAGAATATGAGAAAATCCAGAAACAAATAAATGAAATCATAGAAGCACTAAAGAAATGCCAAACTGAAACTGAGACCATCAAAAACAGAGAGATAAATGAATTAAGGGCAAAAATTGACAATATTAAAGAGGAAGTAACACATAATATGGAAAACCTCAGAAAAAAGAATGAAACAGAAATAGAAAACAAAATGGAAGGCCATTCCAGCAGAATAGAGCAAACAGAAGACAGACTCTCAGAACTTGAAGATGAAATCACAATTAAAGGAAAAACACAAGAACTCTCAGTTAAACAACTCAAGACCTGTGAAAAGAAAATGCAAGAACTCACAGACTCCATCAAAAGACCAAACCTGAGAATCATGGGCATTAAAGAAGGAGAAAAGGTGCAAGCAAAAGGAATGTATAATATATTCAACAAAATAATAACAGAAATCTTCCCAAATCTAGAGAAAACTATGCACATTCAGGTACAGGAAGCCTCCAGAACACCAAACAGACCTGAACAAAATAGAACTACCCCACGACATATTATTATTAAAACAACAAGCACAGAGACTAGAGAAAGAATATTGAAGGCTGTAAGAGAGAGAAAAAAAATAACATACAAAAGCAAACCCATCAAAATTGCAGCAGACTTCTCAATGGAAACATTAAAAGCAAGAAGATCATGGAGTGAGGTCTTCCAGGCACTGAATAAAAATAACTTCAATCCTAGGATATTCTACCCAGCAAAACTATCATTCAAAATAGATGGAAAAATAAAAGTCTTCCATGATAAGCAGAAACTAAAACAATATATGACCACCAAGCCACTACTACAAAAGGTTCTGCAAGGAATTCTGCACACAGAAAATGAAAGCAAACAAAACCATGAAAGGGCAGGCAAGACCAAACCACAGGAGAAGAAAAGGCAAGAAAGTAGAGAGTAACACTGATTCAGCTGCACACAATCAAACTCTTAATCAACAAAGACAACTACATGACAGGGATCACCACATTACTTTTCCATACTAAAGCTAAATGTTAATGGACTAAATTCCCCCATCAAAGACATTGGCTGGCAAACTGGATTAAAAAAGAAGATGCAACAATCTGCTGCCTACAGGAAACCCACCTCATTGACAGAAATAAGCACTGGCTTAGAGTGAAAGGCTGAAAGAATAGTTACCATGACCCTGGTCCCTGAAAATAGGCAGGGGTAGCAATACTTATCTCAGACAAAGTAGACTTCAACCTACATTGATCAAACGAGATAAAGAAGGACACTACATACTAATAAAAGGGGAAATACACCAAAAGGAAAAAACAATTATCAACTTATATGCACCCAATATCAATGCACCCAATTTAGAATGTAACACATCTGGACAGGAAAGCAATGCGAGTAAACTCCCTGTATAGCTATCCTTACTCAACTAGCAAAAACCCTTGGTCCTTCCTATTATTGCTTAAACTCTCTCTTCAACAAAATTAGAGATAAGGACAAAATAGTTTCTGTCTGGTAGCTAGGGGGTAGGAGGGGGCAGGGGAGAGGGAGGAGGTGGGGGGAAGGGGAGAGAAATGACCCAAACATTGCATGCACATATGAATAAAAGAAAAATAAAGAAAAAAATGATTATATATCTCAGTAAGCAATAGACATGAATTATTCTACAAATCTGAAATTACATCATTTTAGCACATAGACCTATACTAGCCTTATAATTACTCTTTGGTAAGATTTATGTTTTCTTTTGCTATTTACTTTGAGTAATTTTATTGAGTAATTTACTTTGATTAGAACTTAATTTTAAGCATTTTATTCTGAATAAATACTTTCTTATGAGAAATATTATCTGTTTCTTCTCTTAACACTCACAATTCTTTGCATTGTGTTTATGTTAACAGAAAGAGACCTTAGTAAATTTTAATAAAAAACTTTGTCTAAAAAATAACTTTGTCTACCATCCTTTCTTGATGTTTTTATGAACATTTATTTGGGATTTTTAAGAGTCTTAATAACCTATTGAGTTAGATTTGATTTTGAATTTTTATGCAATATGTTCAATAGCTAAAACAGGTTCATTTTTATTTTTTCAGAGGGAACCGTATATGCTATTCTGTACTATTTTATTCATTGCTTTGTAAGGCACTATTTTTATTGGTTTTAATTATGTTATTAACATATTAAATCTATTATAGTTTATTAATTTATTATAGCATATCATATATATATGCTATATATCAGTCAGTAAACACACAGCAAAAGGAGAGACATACATTTGAGTGACTATAGTCTTTAAACAAATATGCATATATATATATGTTTAGTAATCTATTTATTTAGCAAATATTCATGTGCTTAAAATATTCATTTTGTCTGGGTACTGTTTTTAGTGATTTAGTGTTTTATACTAACTTACTTAATCCTTACAAATTCATAAGGTAATTAATGATTTCATAATGAGGAAATGGTCAATGGAAGTCACTGATGTAAAATAGCTACCACTGCAGTGCTGCAGGCATAGTGGCAGACTGAGAGATCAAACATGGAATTTTAGTTCCAGAGTTCATCCTTTTCAACACATAGCTTCTTATCCTTAAGCTGGGTTGAAATATTTTGAGACAATAAATTTTGTAACCTCAGTTCCTAATTCATTTTACTTATCTGTCCTCTAATTTTAGTCATATTAGGATGCTACTGAAAAATTGCTCCCAATGATCTTTTCTTTTTTTTTTTTTTTTTTTGAGACAGGGTCTCACTATGTAGCCCAAGCTGACATTTAACTTGCAATCGTCCTGCTTCAGCTTCCTGTGTGCTGCTATTACAGAGATGTGCCACCATGCCTGGCTTTTTAACCTTTAAATAAGTGACCTTTTTTTCTTACCTCGAACTGTGACTGGATGACTCCTTGGGAAGGATTATGGTGCAGAAGTTTGGTGCCCATCATTTTCAGGATGAAATTAAAGTTGGATATTTACATTTTCCTGTTCTCACTTTGGAAATAAAAACAATAATTAGACAGAATTATGATGAACTGTAATGGAAATGCATTGGGATGCCAAAGGGATCCCCAGATTCATTCCATCAGCTCTGCCAAAAGGGTCTGGCATGACACATGGAACGCAGCACCAAAATTCACTTTAAAAACAAACTGTGAATTTTCTGCATCAGATCAGTTGTTAATATGTTTCAATAGAAAAGAAAAGTTCAAACTCCAGGAGTTATGATCTTAAGTATTTCTCTTCTCATAACTTTCATATAATTAATGAGTCCTGCTTATTAATTATTTTAAAGTTATACTTTCTTACTTTTATTAGGGTATATTAATTATAAAAAGAGATTCAATTGTGATATTTTCACAAATCCATGTAATGTACTTTGATCAAATTCATCCCTTTTACTACTTCTTATTACTCCTCCCTCCATTTATAAGTAATTCTAATGGTTTTCATTATTCTATATTCACATATGGATATTAAGTACTTTGACATATTCACCCCCACATCACCCTAACCTTTTGCCCTCTCTCCTTCCACTGGTCCCCTGTTTACACTTGTGTAACTCACTTTTTAAGGTCTAAATTCAACACATGAGAGAAAACATGCAATATTCATTATATGTTGAACTTACACATGTTCAATAATAATAAAATCATATTCATTTATGAGGTAATCACTGAGTAAAATTAAGTAATCAAAAAACATAAAATGTATGTCACATAACAGTGACAAATTTCTGTATCATGAAAGTATTTTTTAACTCTGAATGAGTCTCTCACTTAACAGACTTCACTATAACAAAGGAAATAATGATTTCATGTTAGCTCATTATAGAGGGATCTTAAGTAAAGTATAATACATGTATAAAAGAGTAGAAAGCATATTATTTCAGTAACTATTAAATTAAAACATGAAATTTTAATGCACTATAAAATTAGTTGTTCAGTTTACACAAATTTCTTCTAGTAATCTAAGGTTGTTGTATTATTCAGAATTCTCCAGAGAAACAAAACCAATAGGGTATAAACAAATAAACATGTAGATATATAAAACAATGTATTCAAAGGGATGGTTCATGCAATTTGGGAGGCTAAATTCTATGATCTACTCTCTTCAATCTAGAAGCATAGGAAAGCCAGTGCTGCAGTTCTAGTTCAAGCACAAAGTCCTCAGAAACATGCAAGCAAGTTGCACATGTACTAATGTGAAATCCTAAGTGCTAGAAGAGTTGATGACCAAAGACAGAAGAAGCTGCATGTACCAGCTCAAGCTGAGGGCTAATTCTCCCCTCCTCATTCCATTGGTTCTGATAAGGCTCTCATCAGATATGATGATACTGAATCATGTTGGGAAGAGTAGTCTCTATTCAGTATGCCGATTCAAATATTGATATCTTCTGGAAATACCTCCCAAATGCACCCAGAAGTAATGTTTTCCAAGATCTTTGAACATCTCTTTTTCTAGTTCACTTGGCACATAAAATTAACCATCAATATTGCATTTATTTTATTTTGAATTCAGGGCTTTGAGTGTGCAAGATAGGTACTCTACAGCTTGAGCCATGCTTACATCCTTTTCACTCTGGTTATTTTTGAAACAGAGTCTCACTTTTTACCAAGGCCACCCAGACTGTGGCCATCCTGTTTTAAGCTTCTTTCCATTGCCTGTATGACATATGTGTGCCACTGTCTTCAGCTATTGCTTGAGATCAGGATCTCCCAACCAACCTTTTGGCTCCAGTTGACCTGAAGGGTTACCCTCCCTATCTCAGCCTCCCAAGCAGCTAGAATTAAATGTATGAACCACTGGTGCCAAGCTCATTTACTTTCTAAGTAGTATTTAGTGTCTGAAAAAATGCATCTTCCTTGAAAGTGTTTAGGTCATAGTAGTTTCCACAATCCTATATCTGTGTATGAATAAAGACACACTTCTTTTTTTTCACATATTTTAAATAACATTTTATTTTAGTCACTCCACGCCCTTCTCCAGATTATTTTATGGTAGAAAATACATACTTTTTTACTCTTTATTTCATACAATATATCACTATATCTTTCAAACTCATCTCTTGGTATAACAGATTCTAGAGTTAAACAAAAATCATATACCTAGCAACTTAACAGGAAAGTTAGTTTTAAATATAATGAAAGGTTTGTCTTGACATTTTAAGTGAAATTTCAAAACCACCAACTAAAAAATGCTTCAGAGAATTTAAAAGACTGCTAGTATTTATATTTAACTCACTTTTTTTCTCTAGCTTCATGAGATGAAAGTAAATATTAATTTTCAACTTTTCTTTTTGATAGTTATTTAAAACTCCAAATTTGTCTCTTAAACATTATTTCAACAGTTGTCTGACAAATTTTTATATTATCTATTTTTATTATTGGGCTTCATAATTTTTCTAACCATCACTGTGATTTTATTGTTGGTTTTGGGTTTTTTTATTTTTTATTTTTTATTATTATTCATTTACTCTCATGTGCATACACTGTTTGGATCTAGGGCAAATGCAGCAATGTGGTCAGACTGGGATCACATGACAAGGGGAGAGCACATATGTGTGCTCTACCTAGAAATAGGTAGAAAACCCAACACATGAAACCACTGGATGTCCCCACTCCAGAGGAACTAATACAGAAACCTTAAAGTGACAGAGGTTATCATGAGAAGGGGATCAGTAACCAGGGTAAAGATCAATTAGAGATGAATCAACATGGGTCATAACACATGTACATGAAAGCAATGCTAGGAATATTTCTATATAGCTATCCTTAACTCAGCTAGCAAAAACACTTGGTCTTCCTTATTATGCTTGTATCTTTTCTTCAACAAAATTAGTGATAAAGGCAGAACAGGACCTGACTGGAACTGAGGGGGAAGGGGGTAGAGGTTGGGAGAGGGGGGCGGGGGGGGGAAATGACCCAAACAATGTAAGACACACTTCTTATATGTATATATGTATGCACTAGATATTTATGTATTTTTATACAATCAGAATCTTAAATTACTATGCAAATTTTGCATAATTTATATAAAAATGGGCTCAAAAAATAAGATGACATCTAAGTTTAGGCAACTTGTGAATCAAGGAGCAAGCAAATAAATGGAATTTTTCCATGCCACATGCAGAATACTTTCAACCACAAGGAAATTTTTCAAACCTAGTTTCACATGTGCTCTATGGAAATTCATTAACTTTATTTTCAATATATTTGCTAATCATATAATCATATATGTTATTGAATAAATGTTAATATTCCTATTTATACATGCTTTTTCTTGGTAGTCCTTATAAGCATAGATACATTGACAAATACAATTATGTGGAAATTCAAAACAGAAATAACCTAGAAGAGTTAACCCAATGTTAATTGGAATAAATACTTTAATAGCTCTTTTTGCATGTAGTAATACACATGACATAACTAAGGCCAGCAGTAGAAAAATAATTATAAAGCATAAAATGAAACTAACTAACTAGGGAGGCTCATGTGTCATATACTATTTGCAAATACATGCACATAAAACATTATATAATTGAGTGCATGACAATGTTATATTTAAATAACTTCTTTTACTAATAAACAAAAACTACAATATACTCCACCAATTTGCTTTACTTTTTACTCATTGTGTTCTAATAAATAAAATATATAGAAGAAATTGAGTGCATTTAATACATTTTTGTTTTCAAAAAATGTTGTAAACATGAACTAGTAAGGTAAAATTTCATATGCATTTCAAGAGTTTTCTATGTGGATATTGTGAATACCTTTCCCAAAGTTGTAACTTTTTACATTCTCATCAGTAGAATGAAAATCACTAAGAAATCTATCAGATTTGAAGAGCATGGCATGTTTTGAAGGAAATAGAAAGACATCTAAATTTCTATGAAAATTATATTTTAATAGACCTTCTGTATTGGCTCTTGCCTGTAATCAGCTTTTTTTCTTTCTTCCTTCCTTCCCTCCTTCCTTCCTTCCTTCCTTTCTTTTTCTCTTTATTGTTGTGCTGGGTGAGGGTACATTGTGGCATTCACAAATGTTATTAAAGTGTATCAAATATATCATACATGAGTTCACCTCCTTAATCATTCTCCTTCGTCCCCCCTTCCCTGATTCATGGAGTAGTTTCAACAGGTATCATTTTTGCATTTACATACCTGTGTACACATTTTATTGCACCATATTTACTCTTCTTCCCTTTTTCCCCATCACCTCCCTCCTCCCACTGGTGCCAGCTCTCCCCCTTAGCAGGACTTGTTATACCTTCCTGTTCTCCAATTTTGTATGAGAAAAAGGAGACAAGATATAATGAAAAACATGACATTTTAGCTTGTTTAAGATAAAGGTAGCTATATAGGGAGTTTTCTTGTGATATTTCCATGTATGTATGTATTATAATCCCAATTGGTTTATCTCCTTTAATTTTTTTCATTCTAACTTTGTCCCTTTTTTATGGTAATTTCAGTCAGTTTAAGACTTCTATATTCATTCTTTTTTAATTTTTCAATTTTGTATATATATCTATTTTATTTTTTATTATGAAATTCTTATCAGTATGAATTTCATTTACAAATCTTCATAAGGGAAAATTGCACAGTCTTTTTCTTTTGGAGCCCTGTTTATTACTGATTTCATTTTATATGATTAATGAAAGTACTAAGGATAATTATGATGCATAGAGGAGAGGAATGATAAAAAGCTGTCTATTCTGAATGTCAAGTAGTTGGATGTGAATTGCTCATGGGCTGAGATATCAAAGGAACAAAACAGGAATGGGAGTACAGGTGGGAGAAGAGAGAAATGAGAGAAACAGTGAAGTCAAGAGCATAATGCTCTCCACGTAGAGGTCATAGGCATGGGCTTTAAAGTTTGATTCATAATCCAGATTCTGCATTCATAGCCCCAACATGCTATGCCACCCTCAAACAATATCTTAT